CCAACCCCAACCCTACCCTAACCCAAGTCTAACCCTGACCCTGATCCCTGACCCCGACCCTAACCCTAACCCAAACCTGACCCTCACCCTAACCCTATCCCTAACCCAACCCTAACCCTAACCCCTAACCCCAACCCTAACCGAACCCTAAGCCTACCCTAACCCTAACCCTAACCCACCATGTCCGGCCTTTAACAATTGATTTCCAAAGAACTATTAGGCCGTAGTTGGTAATATAAAGAATTAATATCCCATGAATGCTCATTATCTCAATGGTGTTCCTGGGCTTTGGTTAGCCATCCCCCTTAACCTTCTCAGTCATGTCCATGGTGGGTCCTATCACCATCCCCACTCCACAAGTTAGAGGTCACAGGAACCTGTCTAGGATTTTACATCTGAACATAGCCAGGCCTGGATATAAGCCAGGCACAGAGAGTGTCAGGAGAGATGCTGGTGTCATAACAGTGCCCAGAAAAGGAGGTGCAGACGGGCACACGATGTGATGGTCAGACAAGATGTGGACCCAGCCCCACTGCAGACCAGCATGCCCTTTTTCCTCCTTACACCACGTTTTTGCCTTATATGAGCAGCAGAGTCCAGGGAGGAAGCTCAGTCAGGTGTACAGTACAGATCCAGAGATGCTATAACTAACTCAATGAAATGCAAAACAGACAAAATACAGCATACAGCAAACCACCGTTACAGCTTGTTTAGGTGGCTGCTCTTTATGTGGGTAGTCTGCATGTCTCTCTTTTCCAAAACAGACACAAATTCGGCTACAGCACTCTTCCCCCTCGCTCTTCTCTACTCTCTCTCTCTTCTCTTCCCCACTCTCTCCTTATCTCTCTCCCCTCTTTTCTCTCCTCCTCGGTGCTGCTCTGCAGCCTCCCTCCTCCCACCAATAAAGACCTTTTGTACAAAAAAAAAAATTCAGCTACAGCAGTGGTTCTCAACCTTCCTAATGCTGCAGCCCTTTAATACACTTCCTGTGCTTTGAGACCCACAGGTTGAGAACCGCTGAGCTACAGCAAACAAGTGTGGAGTCAGAGATAGATGCTCCTTGCTTCCCTTCAGCTCACTCCTCAATGTGGGCTCCTTGCTGGTAACTTCCCCCACACAGGCCTAGGATATAACTTGGTCCAGGATTGGGGCTCTGACATGCCCATGCCCTCTCTGCACCTCAAGAATTAAATATGTGAGATGGTCACATGGCTCATGGGGATGACAGTACCTGGGAGCCAGTGACTTCAAGATTCTCTCAACTCCAGGAAAGTCTGGGGGCAAGGCCAGTGGTTCCCACAATCCTTGGATGCTATCGGGAGACTGTGCAGGCCGTTTTCCTCATGTCTTTCTGAAAGCAGATTAGATGGGAGGGGAGACTTCATGACGCTTCCAGTCCCAGCCTCCCTAGTAGGTAAGAGCAGCACTACTGGCTAGAAAAAGGTATCACAGTAATCCCCGTATTATTTGTTTCTCCTTCGGTCTTAACCAGGCGTCCTCAAACTACGGCCTGCGGGCCACATGCGGCCCACCAAGGACATTCATCAGGCCCGCTGCATGTTTTTGCCACCACTGCCTGTCCTGTTTAGCAGCCGGCTCATACCGGGCCCACAGTCCGGCCCTCCAACAGTCTGAGGGACACTGAATTGGCCCCCCATTTAAAAAGTTTGAGGACCCCTGGTCTTAACCAACAATCTATAATTACAAACTAAGGATACCTTGGCCAAGCACAATGGCTCACATCTGTAATCTGCATTCCAGGAGGCCAAGGCTGGTGGCTTGCCTTGAGCTCAGGAATTCCAGACCAACCTGAGCCAGAGTGAAATAGCCAGGCTTTGTGGCAGGCACCTGTAGTCCCAGCTACTTGGGAGGCTAAGGCAAGAGAATCACTTAAGCCCAAGAGTTTGAGGTTGCTGTGAGCTGTGACGCCATGGCATTCTACCAAGGGTGACATAGTGAGACCCTGTCTCAAAAAAAGAAAAAAAGCAAAGAAAAACTCTTTCCTGTCTTTATCTGAACCTGGTACCTTGACCTGATAAATGACAGGGCAGTTACTTTCTCAGAAGCCAGTCATGCTAATATCTAGAAAAGCAGCAATTTAGGGAAAAGGAACAGCAAGTTTTAAGACCTTGAAACAACGTGAGAGTCTGGTTACTTTAGGAGCAGAAAGAGGACCAAATTGGAGGGGCCATCAGGTGTACAGACATGTGCAGGCCTGTGTCGGGCCTTCCCATCAGTCTTCATATTGTATCCTGGGCAAAGGGAAGTCACTGTATCAGGAGAATGTTATCCAACATCCATGAAGAGTACAGACAGTGGATAGTAATGGAGCCTAATGTTAGAAAGTTAGCACAGCAGGCAAGTAAGAGAGAGCAGAACCAGAATGACCATCAGTAAAGATAATGAATACGTAAAAGATTTCAGATTTATTTTGAAGACAGAGCTGACATACTAGCTAAAGTACTGGACATACTGTGTTGAACAAAGGGGGCAACAGAGGTGATACAGGTTGGGACCTAATCAAGTACATGGGCAGTAACACCATTCACCAAAAAGCAGAAAACAAAGGGAGATTTGGAGCCTCATCAGGTGTTTTGAACACATTAAGTTTGAAATACCTATGAAACACCAATGTGGAGATGGCAGTTTGGCTCCAAGTATCTATCTAGTCTGGAATGCAAGTGTTGAAGACAACAGCAAAGGCCAAGCTGCTGAGGAGCATCAGGTCACCTGAAGATCCCAACTCAACGGGGCCTAGGACCTAAGACTGATGCCTGGAGCCACCAACATTTACACAAGAGGTCCACTAAGGCACACTCCAAAGCAAGAGGCTCCCTGTTCCCATGGACAGAGAGTAGTTTGATGGAAGCTACAATGCTTAACTGAGAATGACACCTGCTCAGGAACAAAGACAACATGGACTGTCTCAGCTCCCATAGTACAGCGGTTAGGGCACCAGCCTCATACACCAAGGGTGGCGGGTTCGGACCCAGCCTGGGCCAGCTAAAAATAAAATTAAGAAGTAAACTTCTGGGTGGCACTTGTGGCTCAGTGGGTAGGGCACCAGTCCTATATACTAAGGGTGGTGAGTTGGAACCTGGTCCCAACCAAACTGCAATAAACAATAGCCAGGCATTGTGGTGGGCACCT